GTTTATTGGGTTTACATGGCAAGGGTTTGGTAGCAGGGGGTTGTAGTGGTGGCCTCTGTGAGAAGAGTCCAGATGCTGCCCCATGTCAGATAAGGGCCAGTTTCAGCTGGCTCCAAAAGGAACCCATCTCTGGCCAGAGCCAAGCCAATGAGAAATGCTGGTTGTGCCTCTGTGAGAGCAAATTTAAGAAAGGGAAAAACTGCTGTGAATCAGCAGCTGGGAGAGAGGAGTGAGAAATAACCCTGCAGACACCAAGGTTAGTGAAGAAGGAGGGGGAGGAGGTGCTCCAGGCACAGGAGCTGAAGTTCTCCTGCAGCCTGTGGAGATGCCCATGGTGGAGCAGGCTGTCCCCCCTGCAGCCCATGGTGTACCACGGTGGTGCAGATTTCCACACTGCAGCATATGGAGGAGCAGGTAGTTCTGACCTGAAGGATGCTGCGGCCCATGGAGAGCCTCTGCCTGAGAAGGCTCCGGGCCAGACCTGTAGCCCATGGAGAGGAGCCCACGCAGGAGCAGGTGCAACTTCTGGATGGTGTTACAAGATGGAGCTTTGATCCTCGAGCTACGCCTACTGTGATATTTCTGGAACAAACTCTCAACCTAACATCAGAAAAATATAGCAACAGTTGTGTTTATGCTATGAATTGCTTATATTTAAAGGCAACATTACTAAAGCTTAACTACTGCTTAAAGATCTATTGACCTTCACAATAATGTATTAGCAGCAGAAGTAACAGGTATTTCAGAAGTCTTACTAATCAACAGATCACAAGAAACACAGCTTACAGCAAAAAGCTATTTATTTATTAAAAATAGCTTACAGCTTTAAGTATATACAAATACTTCTGAGGACCCCTGTTCTGCTTATCTTTCTACTCATGGCGACATTAAATTTGAATCATTCACTAAACTGCAGCTCTCTACTAATTCTTTTAGTTACATCTTTTATCTGCAGATTTTTTTTTCTACTTACATAGCTCTTGAAACTGAATTAAAAACAATTAAAACCACATTCTTGTTGCTTTGAAATGCAGCAGTTTTGAGCATTTTTAAGACAGTACCCTAAAGAATTCTACCTGGAGTATATTTTAGATCTGCCATTAGATCTTTATGAGATTGATTACCTCAAAGTTCTTCAGTGTCTTTCTCCATAGCACTGGGTCTGAGGGTTCAAGCTGGAATACACGCAGCATAACAAATAGCAGATGAATATAAAATGTTCCACAGCCACAGCTACAAGTCTGCAAAGAAAAGTATAAGCTAGGGCTCTACTGACTTGATAATTACATGGATCATTTTTCCACATTTAGGTGCATCATGGAAGTGTATACTAGGCCCTCCTACTTTTCAAAAAAAGAGTATTTAATGCAAAATAGTATTTCAAATATGGGCATAAATATCTTCTTACATGGCCTTTCAGAAAAGGGAATTCCCAAAATATTATTTAGGAATATGTCTGAAAAAAATCTGACAATTATAGCATCAGTTTTCTCCTTTCTTTTTCAAAAAATCAACTGAAAGCTATTGTTACTCTCCATACTAAAAGGAATTTATGCATATAATCATAATATATATCTGTAGCATGACGGCAAACTTAAATGACATGTTTCTGCTTACACAAAAACCTACATGTTCCCCAATACAGCATCACAGTAGTACTATGAAAGTCTCTGAAAAGGACCTTATTATGGGTATCAATGATATTATCACTCCATTAAAGGAATTATGGCATTGCTTGTCATTTATAGCTACTCCATAGTTAAAGAAATAAAGCATTTCAGGGTGAGAAACCAGGAAAGTAAGTGGCCAAATTTTAGCCAAAAATGCTTAATAAGACATATAATTAGGAGCTACTTGTAGGAATAAGAAATATATGGAACGTTAGTAAAGATTTCTTTAACTAGAATCTTTTTCTTAAGAGAAACTTCGGACAAAAATAGTACTTGCTACATATTTGATAAAAATACAAGCTGATTACTATGCTGTATGAGCACGTATTACATCTTTTAAACATTGCTTTACAGAACCATTAGCATGGGTTGCTGACTGACAATCTAATTTGGTTTTGTACAGTTGTCCTGGTTTCAGCTAGGATAGTTAATTTTCCTCCTAGTAGCTGGTAGGGTGCTGTGTTTTGGATTAGGATGAGAAGAGTGTTGATAACATGCTGAAACCAGGACAACGGTTTTCCAAGATTAATTATAAATTAATAAAAGCTACAGACAACACAACAGTGTTCTTTACCTGAGGCCCAATAAACACTCTGTATTTATTATCAGGGCTGTCTCCTCCAATTAAGAAAGAGTAGGGTCCTATCTACTGCAGCAGGTACAGCCTAGCTTGCATAACTTTATTGACACGATGATTTGTTTCTTCAGGGTTGTATGGAGAGAAGCCATCTGGAGATGGGGCTCTTCGAGGCAGTGTTATTTGTCCATTCTGATGCTACAAAAGTGGTTCCATTGTTTCCGGGAAGGAAATAGAAAGTTTAGCTATGTATTTTGTTCAGAATGTCATAGAATGTCCCTCAGACCTGAAGAAACTACAACTTGATTAGACTACATGAATTTAAAATGATTAATTTTCTTTTATGACCAGAACTAGAGGGCAGAAGGAAAACAAGAATTTTTAATTGAAATTTTTATAACTGAAATTTTGTCTGGTATTATGACAGAAAAGGAGACTTTTAAGTTGCTTCAGTTTTCAAGTCTTCATTAATAGCCTTTTAACATTTTAATTTCTCTTATCAAGAGGAAAGGATTTGTTCTACAGTGCTATATTGTGTGATATTAATTCCTAGTTCAGTGGAATAACAGTACATATTTTACTGATTTTGGAATCCTTTGTTAGAGCAATGGGACAATAAAAGCAATTAGACTTTATTCTTACTCTAATTGCATTGTGAAATTGTATACAAGTCAACAGAAGATTAACTGTGGATGAGTATGTTTGTAATCTGTTATATACTATTGCTCAAAACACTATATTCTTGATCTTCTCTAATGAAGTCAGTAATTAATGCTCAAAATATTCCACTCCATTCCTGATCTTCTCAAATGCAATGGTATAGATTTTATCATCTAACAATGCAAATACCTAAAACGTCACCAATCTGTATGCAAAGAACAGTCCTGAAACAGAGGATCACAAATAGCATACCAGTAACTCTTTTCTACAGGAATCTTACTCTAATCAACAATCTTTTCCTCGAGGGAATATACTTGCCTGGAGAACTGACATGCAAAACTACAGAGAAAAACTACTGACATCTCTGTGCAAATCTAACTAAGAGAACATATGGCCTCATTTATTTCCTACAAAACAAAACAAACCAAACAAACAAAAAAACAAAAGCATGACTGAATTAAAAAGAAGAAACACACCTAAGAGCAGAGAATAAAGTTCCATACATAAGAGAAATGTAACACTGTCAAGTGATACTGTGTCATAACACCCCTTTTTTACATCAGCATCTTGCCCTACCCAGCGAGGATTACATACTAATTGCCTCTCTTTTAAGCAAAAGATTGCAGAATATAGCCAAATTAATAATTACATCACAGCTTGCAACTTACATGTACTGCAGATACCCTTTTTCTTCTAACACCTGGTGATTCAGATTTAACAGTCCTAGAGGACGATGAAGAGGAGCTACCAGGAGAAGGACTATGCCTTCCTTTCTGCATAGGTGAACAAGCAGTGCTTTGTCCTTCAGCTTGAGGTTCTTGAGATATCTTGTTCTTTTCACATGCATCTCCTTTCACAGGGATAGGTTTCACCACCTTGCAGGAATTAAACCATGAGTGTTAGAATTACAAATTAATCATTTCACTTTAAAGCAACGCAAATCCATCAAAACTTGTTTTTCTAGCATTATATAATTAAGCCATAATTCAGACATACAAAGTTTGCAAATTTGCTAGTTTCCAATATTAACATCTCATAGGTGTTTTCTTGTTAGTCTATATGCAAAACATATAAAAACAAGAACGTTTTTCCCGTCCGTTTGTGCCACTTCCATTAGTTGTAGCAGCAACTGATTTATTCTTAAAGTGCTTATCTGTCATTCATGGTATCCCAAAGGACAGCAGTTCCCCCATTTGGACAGTAGGATTAAAATGATTTTTTTTACTACAGTCATTGCCTGCCTATATAAGAGTTATAACCTTGAATCCATTTATTATATACTGTATGTATCAGACGAGAAATATTAGGTTTATTATTTCTACAGCACAGTATGACCACTTGTTACAAAATAAAATTACTTTAAACCTGGAAGCAATACAGAAAAATTAAGGTGTTCTGTGCCCTGTAAGAACCCTGGACTGTTTTTCTGCCTGCAATACAGCTGAAACAGTTAGTTAGCTCAGATACTGGAAGCAAATCACTGTGCACGGTGTTGCACAGAAAAATGCTCAACCAGAGTAATCGTTTATACTCCTAATAAAGCGCTCTATTGCATCAACACTCAATTTAGACACAGATATGGAATATTTTCACACAACTTTCAGCTGCCTGGCCCTAAGACATACATAGTGCATGCGAAGAGTAAGGCCCCTCAGAATAGAATTAAAAGCAATCCCGACAGGCAAGGTCACTTTTAATTCTACATTTGTCTATGATTTAGAGGCTGTCCTGGTTTTGGCTAGTATAGATAAGAGTTAATTTTCCTCTTAGTAGCTGGTAGGGTGCTGTGTTTGGGATTTAGGATGGGAATAATGTTGATAACACACTGATGTTTTAATTATTGCTGAGCAGTGCTTACACCAAGCGAAGGACTTTTCAGCTTCTCACGCTGTCCTGCCAGCAGGCAGGCTGGGGGTGCAGCAGGAGCTGGGAGGGGACAGAACCAGGACAGCTGACCCAAATTGGCCAAAGGGATATTCCATACCATAGTATGGAATAGGACTCTGCCAACCAGTGTCCTGAACAGTTCAAAGTTGGCCCTCCGGAAGTCCGATGCAGCGGTTTTACTGGTCTCCTTCCTGGCTTCTCCAAGAATGGAGAACTCTACCATGAAGGCTATCAAACGAGTCTTTAGAGGACTGGTACAGTTAGTGGATGGAGTGGGAGTACAGGTGGTGTTTTCGTCCATCCCTACAGTGGCAGGGAGGTGTACAGAGAGGACACAGAAAGCCCACTTGATAAACACATGGCTCAGAGGCTGGTGCCAACACAGAAATTTAGTTTGTTTTTTTTTTTAACAATGGGGCGCTTTACTCGGCACCTGGCCTGATGGCTGCAGACGGGTCCCACCTATCTCTAAGGGGAAAACAGATCCTAGGCCAGGAGCTGGCAGGGCTCATTGAGAGGGCTTTAAATTAGGTAAGAAGGGAGACGGGGCTGAAATGACGCTTGTTGGAGGTGTGCCAGGGGGAATAATGGCTAGGCCGGAGGAGAAAGCAATGACCCAGCTGAAGTGCATCTACACTAATGCACGCAGCATGGGTAACAAACAAGAGGAGCTGGAAGCCATCGTGCAGCAGGCAGGCTGTGACTTGGTTGCCATCACAGAAACATCGTGGGACCACTCTCATGACTGGAGTGCTGCAATGTCTGGCTATAGGCTCTTCAGAAGGGACAGGCAGCACAGAAGGGGTGGTGGCGTGGCTCTCTACATCAGAGAGTGTTTTGATGTCGTGGAACTTGAGGCTGGGAATGATAAGGTTGAGTCCCTATGGGTTAGGATCAGCGGGAAGGCCAAGAAGGGAAGCATCCTGGTGGGCGTCTGTTATAGACCACCGAACCAGGATGAGGAGACTGATGAGGAGTTCTACAGGCAGCTGACAGAAGTTGCGAAATCGTCAGCGCTTTTTCTCATGGGGGACTTCGACTTCCCAGACATATCCTGGAAGCAAAACATTGCCCAGAGAAATCAGTCTAAAAGGTTTCTGGAGAGCATGGAAGATAGCTTCCTGACACAGCTGGTTAGTGAGCCTACCTGGGGAGGTGCCCCACTAGACCTTCTCTTCACAAACAGTGAAGGACTGGTGACAGAGGTGGTGGTTGGAAACTGTCTTGGTGTGTTGGGTCTGTCTGAGCATTGGACTTCCGGAGGGCCAACTTTGAACTGTTCAGGACACTGGTTGGCAGAGTCCCTTTTGGAGGTGGTTTTGAAGGGCAGAGGAGTCCAGGAAGGCTGGGCACTCTTCGAGAAGGAAATCTTAATGGCGCAGGAGCGGTCTGTCCCCATGTGCCCAAAGACGAGCCGGCGCGGAAGAAGACCGGCCTGGCTCAACAGATAGTTGTGGCTTGAGCTTAGGAGAAAAAAGAGGGTTTATGATCTTTGAGAGATCATAAGAAGGCGGGCCATGCGGGAGGACTATAAGGATGTTGCGAGGCTGTGCAGGGACAAAATTAGAAAGGCCTAATGCCTTAATGCCTTCTTTGCCTCAGTCTTTAGCAGCAAGAGCAGTTGTTCTCTGGATATCCAGTACCCTGAGCTGGTGGAAGGGGATGGGGAGCAGAATGTGGCCCTCACTATCCATGAGGAAATGGTTGGCAACCTGCTACAGCACTTGGATGTACGCAAGTCGATGGGGCCGGATGGGATCCACCCGAGGATACTGAGAGAACTGGCGGAGGAGCTGGCCAAGCCACTTTCCATCATTTATCAGCAGTCCTGGCTACTGGGGGAGGTCCAAGTTGACTGGTGGCTACCAAATGTGACGCCCATCTACAAGAAGGGCCAGAGGGCAGACCCGGGGAACTATAGGCCTGTCAGTTTGACCTCAGTGCCAGGGAAGCTCATGGAACAGATTATCTTGAGAGTCATCACGCGGCGCTTGCAGGGCAAGCAGGCAATCAGGCCCAGTCAGCATGGGTTTATGAAAGGCAGGTCCTGCTTGACGAACCTGATCTCCTTCTATGACAAAGTGACACACTGGGTGGATGGAAAGGCTATGGATGTGGTCTACCTTGACTTCAGCAAGGCTTTTGACACCATTTCCCACAACATTCTCCTCAAGAAACTGGCTGCTCATGGCTTGGACTGGCGTACGCTTCGTTGGGTTAGAAACTGGCTGGATAGCCGGGCCCAAAGAGTCGTGGTGAATGGAGTCAAATCCAGTTGGAGGCCAGTCACTAGTGGCGTTCCCCAGGGCTCGGTGCTCGGTACAGACAGGTTCTGGACCAGATGAAGTCGAGCGTACATGACCCATGTGGTGGAAGTTTGTACAGAGTGTACAAACTGTACACTCTGTAGGCATTGGGTAGTTATTGATGCTTTTATGATAGCTTCCTCTTTGTCTTCCTGTTCATCTGATGGCCCAGCCACTTTCGGTGTAGCCTTCTTCTTCCTCCTCAGTCTGAGTAGGAGTTCCTCTGCTTTCTAAATGAACTTACTTTCTCATCTGTTGTTTCATCTTGGATGCAGGGGCAACTAATACTAGCACAGTTTGGTTCCCTGGCCAACCCTGGAGCCTGTCACATGGGTTGGAGTTGCTGCATGGACCGTCACAGGGGTTGGAAGTGCTGTAGGCCCCATCGCAGGGTTTGGGCTGGCGTTGATTGCAGTTCACTAAGCATAGGCCAAGTCCCAGAACATTGCAGTGATTTGTGTCACTTTGGAATTGCCAGGGTGATGACACACCTTTTTTTCAGCATTCCGACAACTTTTTAGGACTTTGAAGTTGTTCAGGGGTGAATTTCCAAAGCATTGGAGGTGCCCACTGCTCTAGATGCCTGCCCATATCCTCCCACTCTCCCTGCCACTCACAACTATCCTGCCTCCGGACAGATCTCTGGATGAGATTCCTAAGTAGTTGTTTAAACTTAAACAAAACCTGAAGCGCATTCAGGAGACATAACAATGAGAACACACTGCTTTGAACATCCCAAGGATATTCAAAATTTTGAAAAGCTATTGTAACTATCCTGGATGAGAAGGGGGAGGTGAAGGGAAAAGGGAGGGTGAAGAAGTGGGGAATAGCATCCCCGTGTGTCCCCCCCCCCATAGATTGGTTTCCTGAGTAGAAAAGGTAAATGGTGTAATTGTTAATAGTTTCTGAGATATGGCTTCCAAAGTATAGAGTTGAAGGCAATGCTCAGTACAAATACCAATTTGTTTCATGACTACTATTTTTTTCATGTCATAAGCCATTGTTACACAGTACAGCAAAATAGCAGCCTTAAACCAGCCCCCAGAAATGATAAACAGCATGACAGGGAACACATACAGTAAGTAACGTGCTATATAACTCAGTTTGGAAAACAGGCGCAGAAGACTTGAGATCAAAAAAAATCGACATTGTGATTAGTGACTACTAAGCAGATCTAATGCTTATAACAATTTTGTTCTAACACGCTGTGGTGAGATCTGTCGTTATCTCAACCCTTTGGGTCCAAGTTGGGTACCAAAAGGACATTTGTGGATTAACCCAGCCAGCAGCTAAGCACCACAGACTCCCCCCGGTCATCCTCCCCCCCCCCCCCAGTGGGATGGGGGAGAGAATCAAGGCGGGGGGGGGGTTAGAAAATAAAAGCTTGTGGATTCAGATAAAGACAGTTTAATAGGACAGAAAAGAAAGAGAAATAATAATATGCACAAAGCTGGTGATGCACAATGCAATTGCTCACCACCCACTGACCGATGCCTGTTCTGTCCCTGAGCAGCGGTCCCCCCACCCCAGCCAGCCACCCCATATAATTTGTTCAGCATGATGTCATATGGTGGAAGGCTGCTGTATGGAGTCCTACGCGATGAGTTGCAGAAGCTGCTGAGGGAGAAGGTGAATCAAGTCAGTTTGCAGAAGTGAAGGCCATCCAGCTGGCTTTAAATATTGCTGAATGAGAAAAGTGGCCAGTACTCTATCTCTATACTGATTCATGGATGGTAGCAAATGTCCTGTGGAGGTAGTTACTGCAATGGAAGCCAAACAACTGGCAGCACCAGGGCAAACCCATCTGGGCTGCTGCACTGTGGCAAGATATAGCTGCCTGGGTGGAGAACCTGGTTGTAAAAGTACGCCATGTAGCTCACAGAATCACAGAATCACATAATCGTCTAGGTTGGAAGAGACCTCAACATCACCTAGTTCAACCTCTGACCTAACACTAACCAGTCCTCCACTAAACCATATCACTAAGCTCTACATCTTTTAAAGACCTCCAGTGATGGTGACTCCACCACTTCCCTGGGCAGCCCATTCCAATGCCTCACAACCCTCTCAGTAAAGAAGTTCTTCCTAACATCCAACCTAAAACTCCCCTGGCGCATCTTCAGCCCATTCCCCCGCGTCCTGTCCACAGGCATGTGGGAGAATAGACCAATCCCCACCTCGCTATAGCCTCCTTTAAGGTACCTATAGAGAGCGATAAGGTTGCCCCTGAGCCTCCTTTTCTCCAGGCTGAACAAGCCCAGCTCCCTCAGCCGCTCATCGTAAGACTTGTTCTCCAGACCCCTCACCAGTTTCGTTGCCCTTCTCTGGACTCTCTCGAGCACCTCGATGTCCTTCTTGTAGCGAGGGGGAAGACAAAGAGGAAGCTATCATAAAAGCATCAATAACTACCCAATGCCTACAGAGTGTACAGTTTGTACACTCTGTACAAACTTCCACCACATGGGTCATGTACGCTCGACTTCATCTGGTCCAGAACCTGTCTGTACCGAGCACCGAGCCCTGGGGAACGCCACTAGTGACTGGCCTCCAACTGGATTTGACTCCATTCACCACGACTCTTTGGGCCCGGCTATCCAGCCAGTTTCTAACCCAACGAAGCGTACGCCAGTCCAAGCCATGAGCAGCCAGTTTCTTGAGGAGAATGTTGTGGGAAATGGTGTCAAAAGCCTTGCTGAAGTCAAGGTAGACCACATCCATAGCCTTTCCATCCACCCAGTGTGTCACTTTGTCATAGAAGGAGATCAGGTTCGTCAAGCAGGACCTGCCTTTCATAAACCCATGCTGACTGGGCCTGATTGCCTGCTTGCCCTGCAAGCGCCGCGTGATGACTCTCAAGATAATCTGTTCCATGAGCTTCCCTGGCACTGAGGTCAAACTGACAGGCCTATAGTTCCCCGGGTCTGCCCTCTGGCCCTTCTTGTAGATGGGCGTCACGTTTGGTAGCCACCAGTCAACTTGGACCTCCCCCAGTAGCCAGGACTGCTGATAAATGATGGAAAGTGGCTTGGCCAGCTCCTCCGCCAGTTCTCTCAGTATCCTCGGGTGGATCCCATCCGGCCCCATCGACTTGCGTACATCCAAGTGCTGTAGCAGGTTGCCAGCCATTTCCTCATGGATAGTGAGGGCCACATTCTGCTCCCCATCCCCTTCCACCAGCTCAGGGTACTGGATATCCAGAGAACAACTGCTCTTGCTGCTAAAGACTGAGGCAAAGAAGGCATTAAGGCATTAGGCCTTTCTAATTTTGTCCCTGCACAGCCTCGCAACATCCTTATAGTCCTCCCGCATGGCCCGCCTTCTTATGATCTCTCAAAGATCATAAACCCTCTTTTTTCTCCTAAGCTCAAGCCACAACTATCTGTTGAGCCAGGCCGGTCTTCTTCCGCGCCGGCTCGTCTTTGGGCACATGGGGACAGACCGCTCCTGCGCCATTAAGATTTCCTTCTCGAAGAGTGCCCAGCCTTCCTGGACTCCTCTGCCCTTCAAAACCACCTCCAAAAGGGACTCTGCCAACCAGTGTCCTGAACAGTTCAAAGTTGGCCCTCCGGAAGTCCAATGCTCAGACAGACCCAACACACCAAGACAGTTTCCAACCACCACCTCTGTCACCAGTCCTTCACTGTTTGTGAAGAGAAGGTCTAGTGGGGCACCTCCCCAGGTAGGCTCACTAACCAGCTGTGTCAGGAAGCTATCTTCCATGCTCTCCAGAAACCTTTTAGACTGATTTCTCTGGGCAATGTTTTGCTTCCAGGATATGTCTGGGAAGTCGAAGTCCCCCATGAGAAAAAGCGCTGACGATTTCGCAACTTCTGTCAGCTGCCTGTAGAACTCCTCATCAGTCTCCTCATCCTGGTTCGGTGGTCTATAACAGACGCCCACCAGGATGCTTCCCTTCTTGGCCTTCCCGCTGATCCTAACCCATAGGGACTCAACCTTATCATTCCCAGCCTCAAGTTCCACGACATCAAAACACTCTCTGATGTAGAGAGCCACGCCACCACCCCTTCTGTGCTGCCTGTCCCTTCTGAAGAGCCTATAGCCAGACATTGCAGCACTCCAGTCATGAGAGTGGTCCCACGATGTTTCTGTGATGGCAACCAAGTCACAGCCTGCCTGCTGCACGATGGCTTCCAGCTCCTCTTGTTTGTTACCCATGCTGCGTGCATTAGTGTAGATGCACTTCAGCTGGGTCATTGCTTTCTCCTCCGGCCTAGCCATTATTCCCCCTGGCACACCTCCAACAAGCGTCATTTCAGCCCCGTCTCCCTTCTTACCTAATTTAAAGCCCTCTCAATGAGCCCTGCCAGCTCCTGGCCTAGGATCTGTTTTCCCCTTAGAGATAGGTGGGACCCGTCTGCAGCCATCAGGCCAGGTGCCGAGTAAAGCGCCCCATTGTTAAAAAAAAAAACAAACTAAATTTCTGTGTTGGCACCAGCCTCTGAGCCATGTGTTTATCAAGTGGGCTTTCTGTGTCCTCTCTGTACACCTCCCTGCCACTGTAGGGATGGACGAAAACACCACCTGTACTCCCACTCCATCCACTAACTGTACCAGTCCTCTAAAGACTCGTTTGATAGCCTTCATGGTAGAGTTCTCCATTCTTGGAGAAGCCAGGAAGGAGACCAGTAAAACCGCTGCATCGGACTTCCGGAGGGCCAACTTTGAACTGTTCAGGACACTGGTTGGCAGAGTCCTATTCCATACTATGGTATGGAATATCCCTTTGGCCAATTTGGGTCAGCTGTCCTGGTTCTGTCCCCTCCCAGCTCCTGCTGCACCCCCAGCCTGCCTGCTGGCAGGACAGCGTGAGAAGCTGAAAAGTCCTTCGCTTGGTGTAAGCACTGCTCAGCAATAATTAAAACATCAGTGTGTTATCAACATTATTCCCATCCTAAATCCCAAACACAGCACCCTACCAGCTACTAAGAGGAAAATTAACTCTTATCTATACTAGCCAAAACCAGGACAGCCTCTAAATCATAGACAAATGTAGAATTAAAAGTGACCTTGCCTGTCGGGATTGCTTTTAATTCTATTCTGAGGGGCCTTACTCTTCGCATGCACTATGTATGTCTTAGGGCCAGGCAGCTGAAAGTTGTGTGAAAATATTCCATATCTGTGTCTAAATTGAGTGTTGATGCAATAGAGCGCTTTATTAGGAGTATAAACGATTACTCTGGTTGAGCATTTTTCTGTGCAACACCGTGCACAGTGATTTGCTTCCAGTATCTGAGCTAACTAACTGTTTCAGCTGTATTGCAGGCAGAAAAACAGTCCAGGGTTCTTACAGGGCACAGAACACCTTAATTTTTCTGTATTGCTTCCAGGTTTAAAGTAATTTTATTTTGTAACAAGTGGTCATACTGTGCTGTAGAAATAATAAACCTAATATTTCTCGTCTGATACATACAGTATATAATAAATGGATTCAAGGTTATAACTCTTATATAGGCAGGCAATGACTGTAGTAAAAAAAATCATTTTAATCCTACTGTCCAAATGGGGGAACTGCTGTCCTTTGGGATACCATGAATGACAGATAAGCACTTTAAGAATAAATCAGTTGCTGCTACAACTAATGGAAGTGGCACAAACGGACGGGAAAAACGTTCTTGTTTTTATATGTTTTGCATATAGACTAACAAGAAAACACCTATGAGATGTTAATATTGGAAACTAGCAAATTTGCAAACTTTGTATGTCTGAATTATGGCTTAATTATATAATGCTAGAAAAACAAGTTTTGATGGATTTGCGTTGCTTTAAAGTGAAATGATTAATTTGTAATTCTAACACTCATGGTTTAATTCCTGCAAGGTGGTGAAACCTATCCCTGTGAAAGGAGATGCATGTGAAAAGAACAAGATATCTCAAGAACCTCAAGCTGAAGGACAAAGCACTGCTTGTTCACCTATGCAGAAAGGAAGGCATAGTCCTTCTCCTGGTAGCTCCTCTTCATCGTCCTCTAGGACTGTTAAATCTGAATCACCAGGTGTTAGAAGAAAAAGGGTATCTGCAGTACATGTAAGTTGCAAGCTGTGATGTAATTATTAATTTGGCTATATTCTGCAATCTTTTGCTTAAAAGAGAGGCAATTAGTATGTAATCCTCGCTGGGTAGGGCAAGATGCTGATGTAAAAAAGGGGTGTTATGACACAGTATCACTTGACAGTGTTACATTTCTCTTATGTATGGAACTTTATTCTCTGCTCTTAGGTGTGTTTCTTCTTTTTAATTCAGTCATGCTTTTGTTTTTTTGTTTGTTTGGTTTGTTTTGTTTTGTAGGAAATAAATGAGGCCATATGTTCTCTTAGTTAGATTTGCACAGAGATGTCAGTAGTTTTTCTCTGTAGTTTTGCATGTCAGTTCTCCAGGCAAGTATATTCCCTCGAGGAAAAGATTGTTGATTAGAGTAAGATTCCTGTAGAAAAGAGTTACTGGTATGCTATTTGTGATCCTCTGTTTCAGGACTGTTCTTTGCATACAGATTGGTGACGTTTTAGGTATTTGCATTGTTAGATGATAAAATCTATACCATTGCATTTGAGAAGATCAGGAATGGAGTGGAATATTTTGAGCATTAATTACTGACTTCATTAGAGAAGATCAAGAATATAGTGTTTTGAGCAATAGTATATAACAGATTACAAACATACTCATCCACAGTTAATCTTCTGTTGACTTGTATACAATTTCACAATGCAATTAGAGTAAGAATAAAGTCTAATTGCTTTTATTGTCCCATTGCTCTAACAAAGGATTCCAAAATCAGTAAAATATGTACTGTTATTCCACTGAACTAGGAATTAATATCACACAATATAGCACTGTAGAACAAATCCTTTCCTCTTGATAAGAGAAATTAAAATGTTAAAAGGCTATTAATGAAGACTTGAAAACTGAAGCAACTTAAAAGTCTCCTTTTCTGTCATAATACCAGACAAAATTTCAGTTATAAAAATTTCAATTAAAAATTCTTGTTTTCCTTCTGCCCTCTAGTTCTGGTCATAAAAGAAAATTAATCATTTTAAATTCATGTAGTCTAATCAAGTTGTAGTTTCTTCAGGTCTGAGGGACATTCTATGACATTCTGAACAAAATACATAGCTAAACTTTCTATTTCCTTCCCGGAAACAATGGAACCACTTTTGTAGCATCAGAATGGACAAATAACACTGCCTCGAAGAGCCCCATCTCCAGATGGCTTCTCTCCATACAACCCTGAAGAAACAAATCATCGTGTCAATAAAGTTATGCAAGCTAGGCTGTACCTGCTGCAGTAGATAGGACCCTACTCTTTCTTAATTGGAGGAGACAGCCCTGATAATAAATACAGAGTGTTTATTGGGCCTCAGGTAAAGAACACTGTTGTGTTGTCTGTAGCTTTTATTAATTTATAATTAATCTTGGAAAACCGTTGTCCTGGTTTCAGCATGTTATCAACACTCTTCTCATCCTAATCCAAAACACAGCACCCTACCAGCTACTAGGAGGAAAATTAACTATCCTAGCTGAAACCAGGACAACTGTACAAAACCAAATTAGATTGTCAGTCAGCAACCCATGCTAATGGTTCTGTAAAGCAATGTTTAAAAGATGTAATACGTGCTCATACAGCATAGTAATCAGCTTGTATTTTTATCAAATATGTAGCAAGTACTATTTTTGTCCGAAGTTTCTCTTAAGAAAAAGATTCTAGTTAAAGAAATCTTTACTAACGTTCCATATATTTCTTATTCCTACAAGTAGCTCCTAATTATATGTCTTATTAAGCATTTTTGGCTAAAATTTGGCCACTTACTTTCCTGGTTTCTCACCCTGAAATGCTTTATTTCTTTAACTATGGAGTAGCTATAAATGACAAGCAATGCCATAATTCCTTTAATGGAGTGATAATATCATTGATACCCATAATAAGGTCCTTTTCAGAGACTTTCATAGTACTACTGTGATGCTGTATTGGGGAACATGTAGGTTTTTGTGTAAGCAGAAACATGTCATTTAAGTTTGCCGTCATGCTACAGATATATATTATGATTATATGCATAAATTCCTTTTAGTATGGAGAGTAACAATAGCTTTCAGTTGATTTTTTGAAAAAGAAAGGAGAAAACTGATGCTATAATTGTCAGATTTTTTTCAGACATATTCCTAAATAATATTTTGGGAATTCCCTTTTCTGAAAGGCCATGTAAGAAGATATTTATGCCCATATTTGAAATACTATTTTGCATTAAATACTCTTTTTTTGAAAAGTAGGAGGGCCTAGTATACACTTCCATGATGCACCTAAATGTGGAAAAATGATCCATGTAATTATCAAGTCAGTAGAGCCCTAGCTTATACTTTTCTTTGCAGACTTGTAGCTGTGGCTGTGGAACATTTTATATTCATCTGCTATTTGTTATGCTGCGTGTATTCCAGCTTGAACCCTCAGACCCAGTGCTATGGAGAAAGACACTGAAGAACTTTGAGGTAATCAATCTCATAAAGATCTAATGGCAGATCTAAAATATACTCCAGGTAGAATTCTTTAGGGTACTGTCTTAAAAATGCTCAAAACTGCTGCATTTCAAAGCAACAAGAATGTGGTTTTAATTGTTTTTAATTCAGTTTCAAGAGCTATGTAAGTAGAAAAAAAAATCTGCAGATAAAAGATGTAACTAAAAGAATTAGTAGAGAGCTGCAGTTTAGTGAATGATTCAAATTTAATGTCGCCATGAGTAGAAAGATAAGCAGAACAGGGGTCCTCAGAAGTATTTGTATATACTTAAAGCTGTAAGCTATTTTTAATAAATAAATAGCTTTTTGCTGTAAGCTGTGTTTCTTGTGATCTGTTGATTAGTAAGACTTCTGAAATACCTGTTACTTCTGCTGCTAATACATTATTGTGAAGGTCAATAGATCTTTAAGCAGTAGTTAAGCTTTAGTAATGTTGCCTTTAAATATAAGCAATTCATAGCATAAACACAACTGTTGCTATATTTTTCTGATGTTAGGTTGAGAGTTTGTTCCAGAAATATCACAGTAGGCGTAGCTCGAGGATCAAAGCTCCATCTTGTAACACCATCCAGAAGTTGCACCTGCTCCTGCGTGGGCTCCTCTCCATGGGCTACAGGTCTGGCCCGGAGCCTTCTCAGGCAGAGGCTCTCCATGGGCCGCAGCATCCTTCAGGTCAGAACTACCTGCTCCTCCATATGCTGCAGTGTGGAAATCTGCACCACCGTGGTACACCATGGGCTGCAGGGGGGACAGCCTGCTCCACCATGGGCATCTCCACAGGCTGCAGGAGAACTTCAGCTCCTGTGCCTGGAGCACCTCCTCCCCCTCCTTCTTCACTAACCTTGGTGTCTGCAGGGTTATTTCTCACTCCTCTCTCCCAGCTGCTGATTCACAGCAGTTTTTCCCTTTCTTAAATTTGCTCTCACAGAGGCACAACCAGCATTTCTCATTGGCTTGGCTCTGGCCAGAGATGGGTTCCTTTTGGAGCCAGCTGAAACTGGCCCTTATCTGACATGGGGCAGCATCTGGACTCTTCTCACAGAGGCCACCACTACAACCCCCTGCTACCAAACCCTTGCCATGTAAACCCAATAAACAATCGTGATTATTTTTTTATTATTTTTAGTAGTATAAAGGATGAAGAACAGATGTGCTCCATTTGTTCGTTAGGCATGCTGGATGAAGAGAGCCTGCCTGTGTGTGAAGATGGCTGCAGGAACAAATTACACCACTGCATGTCAATATGTATGTTATCATCTTTGTCTCATTAAATTCTGGTGACTCTAAATATCAAAAAGTATTATAACTTAGTGTGTTGTTGTGTTTTTTTTGTTGTTGTTGTTTATTCACAAATCAAGCTTGTAATTTAGTGCTTTTAGAAAGAAGTTAACTGAAGGGCTAGAGGTTTGGTTTTAACCTCTTTTACCTGAATGAGATTATGTCCAATTAGAGCAAGGTTAGGAGCAGACTTTATTCCTCTGCAACTCGACATTAGAGTTCATGAGAGTCATCCACGATCAGCTTGGATTATGTAGTAAATTATGGAATATTCTTACATACTACATTAAATAAAGTATATAAATAGCTAGTTTGCTTTAACAAATAAAATTCAGTCTCATGTATATTAGTACTTTTTTAAAAACATTGCTTATGTTTGACGTATAAAAAGACCCATATTTCAGTTCATAACTTTTAATATTAATTATAGTGCTAGACTGAAGCATTTCTGCATACAGAAATGTTTAAATGCACACATTTATCAGGCTGCTGCAGTGGCTCAGTTCAGAAATGTTTATCCTGAAACTGACATTCTTCAGTAAAATTTAGGTATACTAATGCCATCTTCTGGTTATATACGCTATAAAACTGGAATACATATTATCCTGTTGCTGTGTTCCAGGGGCAGAAGAATGTAGAAGAAACAGAGAGCCACTTATATGTCCTCTTTGTAGATCTAAACAGAGATCTCATGATTTCTATAGGTAAGCAGTCAGTCTGAGTATAACAAACTATCTGTTTCTGGATCTCTAGAAGTATTCTTAAATACAGTAAAGTATTTACCTTGGTCAGTGTTTTGTTTGTTAATCCATGTTATTTGTTGTTAATCTGTAGTCATGAATTGCCAACCCCTGTGGTTTCTTCTGTTCTCCATGTGGTTCAGCAACAAACTCAACAGCAATCTACAGTTGGATCACAGAGGAGAACCCAAGATAGAAATTTTAACCTTACTCACTATGGGGTCCAGCAGATCCCTTCTGCCTATAAAGGTTTCGCTGAGCCATGGATTCAGGTAATTTTACTTTGTAAAAGAAGCTTCAAATGTAAAAAATGATTTTTAACCATTTCGCTAGATTTGTTATACTTGGTGAATATTACATTTACACAGCACTAACGCAAAACTACTTTAATGTCCTTCAGAAGAAACTATGATCATTGTGCCTACTGGCCAGTAACGAAATATGCTTATGCAGTATTTGCTCCTGCTATTTTTAATAACTGAAGGCGCTTTCTTCTGAAAGAGCTTGGAATAAGAGGAAAGTTATGTTTTGATTTATACCATCAACTTTTTTCACTTTAAAAAAAAAAATGCTCGTTGATGCTTGTTGATGGCACATGCAGAGAGTGAGTTTCTTAACACTATTGATTTTGAAAAAGGTAACCATAGTGATGTTAGTGTCTACTGAATCCACCTGGTGGAACAGAGAATATTACGACAAATATCTTCTCTCTTTGCTCAGACATGAAAATGAAATGACAAACTGGACAATTTGAGGTAGAGCTATAATAGGATTCTAGTGTATGAGTGTCTAATTTTGACACAATTCTAAAGCATCTGTAACAATTCAAAAATTATTCTGAATCCCATCAGCTTTTTGCATCAGAAAAAAAGGTTTCCCAGTAATGTTTTCACTGTTGTTTTTTTTTTGTTTCAGAATTCATCTCAGGCTGTTGAGGGATTTTTGAAACAGCAAAGATCCCATGGCTTGCTACAGAGAGACCTGACAGAAGCCGGAACACCTGAAAGACATTGAGAAACTCCAACCACCGACCGGACAAAGGACTCGCGGGGAGACGCGGGAAAGTGACGTCATCGCGGTGAGACGCGGGACATCCGGGATCGAGTTGCTACGGGAGACCAGAGGCGTCAGTGGACAACGGCAGCCGACCCTCACCGTGTGGCGAGTTGGTACATAGCAGAGGGGCGGAGATCACGACCCTGCAGCCTGTCTGAAGTAACCACGGAGGCGGAGGCGGCTGTGCTGCTTCTCTCTAGCATTCTCTCTATGAGAGGCATATCTTGCAATGCAAAAACGACTATTCGTCCCCAGATCGGTGTTATAACTATGCTGTTACATAATTTGATAAATGTACAAATGTTCCTGGATAACATTCAGAGGGGTTGCCACATTGTACGGATTACTAATGACGACTTAGCTATATTACTACCTTTATTGCGGTGCAGGAGTGCAGAGCCACAGATTACACTACCAAATGACCACTGGCAGGCTCTTTCACAAATAGCTTCTAAGGTTGCAGCCAGCACTGCTTGCAGACATATAGCAGACGTTGCACTCTCTTTCCTAATTAGCAATCATGTGTCTCATCCATTTCCGGTGATTGGTCAGTGGCAAAAAGAAAAGGGGGAGAGTAAGGGGTGACAAAGACAGAAACGGTATCAGGAGGATGCCACTGACACTACTAGCACGGGTAATAGGAGTAGTATAAATGACACAGGTGATGGCAAGGGTGGAATGATAGGGCAGCATTGTCGAGTTCTGGTGATTAAGGAGGTATTGGGGAGGCATTGGGGAGGCAAGGACAATCCCCAGACATGGACTGTATATCTCGAAACAAGACACTGGAACTCATGATAAGGAAGCGGCAGACGGACAGAGAAACAAATGTAAGGACTATAAATCTCAAAACTGGACATTGGAATTCATTATAAAGATACAACAAACGGAAGAATTAGCAACAACCAGCTCTCGCAATTAAGAAACATGCCAATTCAGCAGATTCCTGACCAAAGGTGAAAAGTACACTGTGAGGAAGACTCGGGGTCTTCCTCCCAAAGACCCCTGCCCACAATTCTTGGAAGGCTCTACGCAGGCGCAAGGTGCCAAAAGGCTAATTAGCATGAGAAGCGAGGGAAGGCGGGGATAGGTAATGCATATGTATAGGTGCTTGTAGAATATTGATAGATTGATTGTATAAATTCAAGACTGCTTTCTGCTTTGGGTATGCACGATAGGTGGAGAGATCCCCCGTGCATCCAGCGCTGCAATAAAGAATATACCACTTAAAGGAATTTCGGCTTCGATCTTTGAATCAATCTGGCACCCCAGATGGGACTACCTCTCTGCCGGACCGCAGGACCCGCTGGGGACAGGACTCCCTAGGGTACCCCCGGGATTTCCCAGAGGGACTCCTCGACTCACCGGATCACTGCGGAGGCAGACAAGGACCCCATCATTGTAAGTGAGTATATTCTTTATTCTGGTTTGGTTTTCTGGTAGACCGGTCGTCTGGAACTGTCTGTAAGTCAGAAGGTGATCTTCTGCGAGGCAGTGTTTGGTATATACTTTGTGGTTAGCACCATAAGTATATGTTTGGGGACCTTAAGGAAGGAGCTCGCTTTAAGGTTCATCTGGAATTGTGTTGTCTATTTCGGTTTTCTGACTCATGGAGTATGGTATTTAACTCTGGTTATTGTTACTGCGATTTTGGCTATTTTTCTGGTGGTAATAGTAGGTTTGTGGCATTGTTATAAGAAAGATATCGTTACGGTGTTACACAGTTCGGTTTTCTGACTTATCGCATGTGGAATTTGACTCTGACTATTGTTATTGTGATTTTGGCAATATTGCTGGTAATAGTAGCTTTGTGACATCGCTACTGAAAGATATTGCGTGCCTGTAATTTTGTGAGTGATACGTTTTTGTGATACGCTTTTGTAAGTAACACGTGTATTCTGAAAGTGTAAACTGGAAAATGGGGGGGCGAGTAAGCAGTGAAATTCCTAAGAAAAGTACGCTGGGTTGTATTTTGAGTCATTGGAAGGATATAGCGGGGCTCCGTGTGGAAGTGAAAATAAGAAAACCCTGATAAAATATTGTAATCAGTGGTGGCCCCTTTATAAATTACAAGAAGGGGAAAAATGGCCCAAAAATGGGACCTTGAATTACAACACGCTATTGCAATTAATGTTATTCTTAAGGAGGGAAGGGAAATGGGATGAAGTTTCATATGCGGATATGTTTTTTACTCTGAGAAACCACCCAGAATGGCAGAAGGAGTGTGGCATTAATTTGGCCCCACAAGACCCTTTGATTTTATCAATAGAAAAGGATATGAGGAGGGATGGAGTGGGGAAATTAAAGAGGTGTTGTTCGGCATGTAGCATTGGGCAGAGGTGTTTAAAATTAAATGAGCCAGAAGAAAGGATGGAAGATTATGTTTTACCACCTATAAATGGTGATGTAGGTGCTGGAATAGAAGTTGAAGGCGCTGGAAATGACATAGACTCTAAGGGGTTTACTCCGATAACTGCTCGTACACGAAGTAAAATAGGACCAATAATCCAAGCCCCTCTGCGTCAGGCTATGGGAGCTAATGGACCTGCTAGAATTAAAGTACCCTTCACAACTAATGAACTAGATGCCTGGAAGGAGGCGGTGAAAGGGTATCGAGATGATCCAGAGGTAGTGGCTAAAAGATTTGAATTGATTGTGAAAAACTTAGACCCAGATTGGAAGGACATAGAGATAATGCTGGCTGCATTATCAGAAACCGAGAAACAGCTAATAGTTAAAACTGCTAGAACGCAGGTACAAATCCAGGTAGCCTCGGGAGCCCTGCCCGGCACAGTGGAAGTACATGTGCCTAGGGCAGACCCTAATTGGGATTATAATGATGAGAATGATTATAGAATGCTAAAACGATATCAAGAATGGATTAGGATTGCTTTAGAAAATGCAATACCTAAATCTGTGAATTGGTCAAGACTATATACAATAAAACAGGGGACCTCAGAAACCCCATCCGAATTTCTTGAAAGGCTGAGGGCAGCAATGCAGAAGTTTACCACTATAGACCCTTCCTCTAAGGGGGGTAGACTTCAATTAGTTTCTCTATTTTTGGGTCAATCGGCGGAAGATATTAGACGAAAACTTCAGAAAATGAAAGAACCAGACGTAAGGGATTTGGAAAGATTAGTAGAAGAAGCCTGGAGAGTGTTTAGAAATCGTGAGGGGAATGAAAGGCAAAAGTTAGGTGAGACGATTGCAGCAGCCACTGTGGCAGCCCTGCGAAAGCAGGAAGAATCTTTTCGAGGCAGGAGAAGGGGGGGGAAGGTAATGCGACTCCCCTTGCGGGCTGAACAGTGTGCCTATTGTAAAGAGATAGGACACTGGAAAAGGGAATGCCCGAAGCGGCAAGAGGAAAACAAGCTATTAATGGCTACAAAACAATGAAGGAGACTGGGGGACTCTACCCTAGCAGATCCACTGGTTAAAATTAAGCTAGGGAAATTGGGTCGGGAAGTAGAATTTTTAGTAGATACAGGAGCTACATATTCAGTGTTAAATCAGAAGTTGATGCCAGAAGATAAAGATTTTGTGACAGTGGTGGGGGCAACGGGTAGGCACGAAAAAGCTTTCTTTTTAAAGCCATTAGAATATGAATTGGGGAAGCAAATGGGAATACATAGGTTTTTGTATTTGCCGGGATCTCCTAGATCTTTATTGGGACGGGATTTATTAGAGCAATTAGAAGCTGAAATTGTTTTTGAAAAGGGAAGGGTAGAGTTAAGAGTAAAAGAAGACCGACTTATAAGTGCACTAAGTTTGGTATTGATCCAAACTGATTCTTTTAATGAAACCCTTCCGGAAATCCAAGATCAGGTTTATCCAGGGGTGTGGGAATCTGATGTCCCCGGGAAAACAAAGAATGCTGCACCAATAATGGTAAAATTAAAACCAGGAGAAAAGCCAGTAAAGGTTAAGCAGTACCCCCTTAGAATAGAAGATAGAAGAGAAATAAAAGATACAATAGATAAGTTTTTGCAATATGGGTTACTGGTCGAGTGTGAATCGGAATATAATACTCCCATCTTACCAATTAAGAAACCGGATGGGAAGAGTTATAGGTTAGTACAGGACTTGAGAGCAATAAACAGGATCACTGAAGACATACACCCTGCGGTAGCAAACCCTTATACGCTATTGACCAAGTTAAAGGACAAGTTGGTCTGGTTTACTGTGCTGGATTTAAAGGATGCCTTCTTTTGTTTAACCTTGGCCCCAGAAAGCCGAAACCTCTTTGCCTTTGAATGGGAAAATCCTGACTCAGGACGAAAAGTCCAGTTGACATGGACAGTGCTTCCTCAGGGGTTTAAAAATAGCCCCACGATTTTTGGTAATCAACTTGCAAAGGAACTTGAATCCTGGGAAGCCCCCAATTCTGAGCAATTGGCTAACGGGCAGGGCCCAAAGGGTTATGGTAAATGGGGCTGCGTCAGGCTGGCGGGCGGTCACCAGTGGGGTCCCTCAAGGCTCCATTTTAGGGCCGGTACTTTTCAATATTTTTATAATATAAAAAATTTTTCAATATTTTTATAAACGATCTGGATGTAGGAATAGAAGGTATTTTGAGCAAGTTTGCTGATGACACCAAACTTGGAGGAGTTGTGGACTCAGATGAGGGTGGAAAGGCCTTGCAGAGGGATCTGGATAGGTTGGAGAGCTGGGCGATCACCAACCGCATGAAGTTCAATAAGAGCAAGTGCCGGGTCCTGCACCTGGGACGGGGAAACCCTGGCTGCACGTACGTACAGACTGGGCGATGAGACGCTGGAGAGCAGCCTAGAAGAGAGGGACCTGGGGGTCATGGTAGACAGCAAGTTGAATATGAGCCAGCAGTGTGCCCTGGCAGCCAGGAGGGCCAACCGTGTCCTGGGGTGCATCAAGCACGGCATCGCTAGTAGGTCAAGGGAGGTGATTGTCCCGCTCTACTCTGCGCTGGTGCGGCCTCACCTCGAGTACTGTGTGCAGTTCTGGGCACCACAGTATAAAAAGGACATGAAACTGTTGGAGAGTGTCCAGAGGAGGGCTACGAAGATGGTGAAGGGCCTGGAGGGGAAGACGTACGAGGAACGGCTGAGGGCACTGGGCCTGTTCAGCCTGGAGAAGAGGAGGCTGAGGGGAGACCTCATCGCAGTCTACAACTTCCTTGTAAGGGGGTGTCGAGAGGCAGGAGACCTTTTCTCCATTAACACCAGTGACAGGACCCGCGGGAACGGGGTTAAGCTGAGGCAGGGGAAATTTAGGCTTGACATCAGGAGGGGGTTCTTCACAGAGAGGGTGGTTGCACACTGGAACAGGCTCCCCAGGGAAGTGGTCACTGCACCGAGCCTGTCTGAATTTAAGAAGAGATTGGACTGTGCACTTAGTCACATGGTCTGAACTTTTGGGTAGACCTGTGCGGTGTCAAGAGTTGGACTTGATGATCCTTAAGGGTCCCTTCCAACTCAGGATATTCTATGATTCTATGATTCTGCAGGGGTCCTGCTGCAATATGTTGATGATCTCTTGATTGCTACCGAAGACAGGGGAAGCTGCATACAGTGGACGGTGAGCCTCCTTAATTTCCTAGGAATGAATGGATAGCGGGTTTCACAACAGAAGGCACAATTGGTTCAAACCCACGTGACGTACCTAGGATTTGAGATCTCAGGAGGACAACGTGAATTGGGGACGGAACGCAAGGAAGCAATCTGTCGTACCCCAGAACCACAGACTGTTAAAGAATTACGAACTTTCCTAGGAATGACAGGTTGGTGCAGATTATGGATCAATAATTATGGATTAATTGTAAGGCCTTTGTATGATTTAATTAAAGATAACTGCATAAGACTAATATGGACAGGAGAAGCCCGAGCAGCCTTTAAGAAGCCTTACCTCCTGATGTTTTTCTGATTTGCAGGGATAGGGCCTGGTAAGGTATCCCTGCAAATGCTATCGGACGTCCATGTTACTTAGGTAAACTTACTATATTTGATCCTAGCTTGTCGCAGCTGCGTGAGATCACCAGACATAAATGGGTATTGCTCGCAATGGATTGCAACGATAATGTTGAGTTGCTTGGTGTTGCAGCTAGAGCAGCATTGGCAATTTTCGTGCCAGGAGTGGCATCTGCGGCCGCACTTAACAACTTAGAAAAATTGGTATGCTGGGCCAAGAAACAAGCCCATGCCGCGACAGAGATACTTGAGGAGATGTTACCAGATCAAAATAGTCTACGACATGCGCTCTTACAGGATCGAGCTGCTATTGACTTTTTGCTTTTGGCTCAAGGGCATGGGTGTGAGGACTTTGAGGGAATGTGCTGTTTGAACCTTTCTGATCATAATGAGTCAATTCACAAATCCATTACTTTCCTGAAAGAGCACATGAGAAAGATTCAATATGAAATCATTCCTTTCAACCAATGGCTGTTGAGGGATTTTTGAAACAGCAAAGATATCCCATGGCTTGCTGCAGCTGAGCAAACCAAGCTACCAGGGCAACTATGAGAAGTTCCCATGACAGTGTTCCCACATCGCCCAATTGAGGAATTTAGAAAAATATTGTTGCCAGCAGCTGGCTTCAAGGACAAGGTCTGCTAATCACAAGGGGGTTGTTTTCTTGCAGGTGGGGTTGTTTTCTTGTAGTTGTTTGTCTGAGTGCTTTTGACCAATAATCTTGTGTGAGACACTATCCGCCCCCGGTAAGTTCGCTATAAAACCTAGGCTATTCGGGTAATAAAATGGAGCATGATCTGACCATACTAGTGTCTGTCGTGCTTTCGGCCGTTCTTCCTGCAACATATGGCCTCTTATTGAAGGTCCATGTAATAAAATATAGTATTCCTAATTTTGGTCTTAACTGTGCAAGTGTCACATAAATACAAAATTGGCACTTACTGTTACTTAAGTTGGGTTGCAAATAGCCTAAATACTCTCTAGCCTAGAGGTGGGTTCAACTGAGCAGGGATTATACACTTAAAAGAATGGGAGAATGTATGTTGCCTATATTTTTGCTGTAATTTTTGTCTAGTATAGCTGGACCTCGAGTTCAGGGTTGTTTACATCAGCATCTAAAAACAAACTCCATACTAAGTAATTAAACCACGGTAAATGAAACTACCCATACTGTCATTCCCCCACATGTCCTAGAAGAGTTTTTGGAGAACTGATGATTCATCATTTATGATGGTTGATTTCTATCATAGAATTTTTTAAGACTGTATACCCTCTGACATATTTTTGCTGTCAGACTACTTAAAATGATTTTTCACGAGAAACATTTCTTTGCTCTTTTTTGATTGCTCTTCTTAAGTTGTGATATTATTCAATTTGACTCATGTAAGGTTGCTTTTTCCTTGGCAGGTATTTGGAATGGAGTTAGTTGGCTGCTTGTTTTCTCAAAACTGGAATATACGAGAGATGGCACTTAGACGTCTTTCCCATGATGTTAGTGGTGCTCTATTACTGGCTAATGGAGAAAGCACTGGAAATTCTGGAAGTAGCAATGGAAACAACACAAGTGTTGGAGCTCTGGGAGCAGCTAGTGGGTCATCTCAGAACACTACCTCAGAAGATGTTGTGGTTAAATCCTGCTGCAGTGTGCTGTCCATGGTCTGTTCTGACCCTGTCTACAAAGTGTATGTTGCTGCTTTAGCAAGTAGCTGTTTACTCATGGTATTCTAGTAATTTCAAAGCTGCTTCATTTTTGAAGGGGAAGGAAAAGGACATGTATGAAGTCAAGAATGCTAATTATTGTTGTTGAGCATCACTGCTGACAACTATTAACTATCATCTGAAAGTGGGATGAACAAAATTCTCAGGAAGGTTGAATTGGCATGACTCCACTGGCCAAATATAAGGAAATGCTTGCTACAGTGTTTAGCATTAACAGTAATTGTATGACCAGGTCACTTGCTAGTCACAAAGAGTACATGACTAATCCTAAGAGTGAATGCATATTAAGCTATTTATCCTTTTAACATTTCAGTCATATTTTAATTTAATTTATATGAATCTATTCACAACTTAAAAAAGAGCAAACAACAACAACAACAAAAAACTATTTGTGTAGCTAATTTAATGTCATATATATTGTTTTTTCTCCTTTCTCTTAGAAATTCCCTCACCTTCTTCTCAAACACAGCGGAAACTTTCTTTCCAGTTTCAGAGAAGGTGTTCTGAAAATAAAGAACCAGAGGAACTTTCTCCAGTTTTTATCCAAGCCAGGCCACTGCCATCCAGTCACATACACAGGCCAAAGCCATCACAACCCACTCCAAGCAATATGAACAAGCAGGGAGAAACCTCAAAAAACAGTATGACACTTATGACACTTCACCTGGATGATATCTCAAAGTTTGATGGCAGTAGTAGTAATAGCAGTGTAGTTATACCAAGGGATGGTGTTCACACCAGTAGATGAGAAATGTTGGTTGGATATTAATACAGAGCTCAACTCCAGTATTGAAGACCTACTCGAGGCCTCCATGCCAACAAGTGATGGCACAGTTACATTCAAGTCTGAAGTTGCAGTTCTTTCTCCTGAGCAGGAAGAAAATTATGACACTTATAAAGATGATGTAAATCATAATCAAAAATGCAAGGAAGAGATGGAAGCTGAAGAGGAGGAAGCTTTAGCTATTGCTCTGGCAATGTCAGTGTCTCAAGATGCACTGCCAATAATTCCCCAACTACAGGTTGAAAATGGTGAAGAAATCATAATTATTCAGCAGGATGTAAGTATACATATGGGAATGTAACATGTCTCTGTTGTGTTTTAACCCATCAGGCAGCTAAGCACCACACAGCCATTTACTCACTCCCCACCCCCCACAGCTTGTTTTTTTTTGTTTTTGTTTTTTTTTTTTTAAAAAAGTAAAACTTGTGGCTTGAGATAAAGACAGTTTAATAGGACAGAAAAGGAAGGGAAAATAATAATAATGATAATAATTATATATATATAACAAGTGATGTACAATGCAATTGCTCACCACCTGCTGACTGATGCCCAGCCCCTCCCTGAGCAGAGCAGTGCACACACACACATACACCAGTTTTTTATTGTTCAGCATGATGTCCAATGGGATATGGAATATCCCTTTGGCCAGTCTGGGTCAGCTGTCCTGGTTGTGTCGCCTCCCAGCTTCTTGTGCACCCCCACCCTCCTCTCTGGCAGGGCAGCATGAGAAGCTGCATATATGTTTGTTTGCAAGTATACAAAATCACAAGAAATAAGAATGGAGAGAGAAAGGAGTATTTTATAAAAGTTCACAAAATATTTGAGTATATTGACTTGAGGGAGTAAGACAGGTGCTGGAAGCTTATGAGGCTACATGCCTAGGAAAGGCAGCAGAATTGGTAGCGTTGCTGGGAAGAAGAAAGAAATCTCATGTTGGTTTTTGTGATCATTTGCATGAGGTAACAACACGTGAAGCACAAAATGCCAGGAGTAAATTAAGTAGAAAACATGATTTTGGTTGTGTTTAGTGCAGATGATAACAAACAAAAAAAACTAAATAGACATGAGATTAGGAATAGAAAAAAAGTCTAGCTTCTATTTGTGTCTTTACATCTTGTCTTTCATCTTCAGTTAATAACACAGAGGATGTGCTCTTTTCTTACATATGGTAGGAATGTGTGGATTATAGAAGATGTGGATTATATGGTGTTCTAGTCTCAACTGAAACATATAACATGCAATGTAAATAACTGTAAGGGAGAGGAGAGGAATATAAACTTGGATATATCATAGCCTTCCAGAATGTCTACATTTTAGATGCATGCTAGTAAACATGTAATTGATTTGCAGACACCAGAAACCCTGCCTGGACATAACAAAGCAAAACACCATTACAGAGAAGATTCAGAATGGCTTAAAGGTCAGCAAATTAGTCTTGGAGCTTTCTCTTCCTGTTACCAAGCACAGGATGTAGGAACAGGGACATTAATGGCTGTAAAACAGGTAAATATTTCACATTCTTGAATGTATTCTGCTTGCTCTTCAATATTTTTTTTGAATATTAAATATAAAAACCTTTTGCTCTCACAAACTGTTCCCTACTTCCTCTGCTCCCCACTCCAGAGATTCTGTTGGTATTTCCCCAGAAGATTGCTCTTACTTTTTCTATGACTGTCTCATATGGAGATGCATTCTCAGCTGAAGGGACTTGAGGTTAGAAGAACAATTGCAGTTTTTGGATGGTGAACAGAGATGGAAAACCATCCATTGTCATTACTGTACTGAATGGGTTGTGGGAGGGGGCGTGGTTACACAACTGGTAATTATATAAAGTAAATCTGAATATCATATTTCAAAACAGGTGACGTATGTCAGGAACACATCATCTGAGCAAGAAGAGGTAGCCAAAGCACTGAGGGAGGAGATATGGATGATGAGTCATCTGAACCATCCTAATATTATTCGCATGTTGGGTGCTACATGTGAGAAGAGCAACTATAACCTCTTTATTGAATGGATGGCTGGTAAACAACTACATGCCAAATAAAATTAAAGTATCGGTTGTCTTGGAACTATGTAGTTTCATACTGCAAAATATTCCATGCATTGCTTCAGTTCAGAAAGTTATGTTTTTATTGCTGATTTAAAGATTTGTGCTAATTAAAGCATAAAGATTTACTTACAAAACAGTTCAAGTGGTCATAGCAATATTCTTACTGGCATCTTTCATTTGATTTGGAATTATCCATGCATAATTTGTCATACAGTTAATGTAGTTTAAAGCCCTGAACAAAAAATCAATTACATTTTCCTAAATTTCTGCATCTAAAAGAGGAATTAAACTTTGAGATACAGACTCTTCAGCTTTCTATATTTCCAACTGTTGCATTTTCTGTGTAGCTGTGTAATTTTAAATGATTATTAAAAATAACTTTCCTAGAAAGTTTGCGATGCCGGTCACTTGTTTTTGTCCCAAGCATTTTCTTTAAAATTGTGTGAGGGGACATGCAAAAGCACTTGAGAACTTAAAGTAAGTTTCTAATAATAGGTAGTAAACAGGTGGGGTGTTTTTACCGTGCTGGGCAGCTAAACTCTACCACAACTGCTGTCTCACTCCCCCCCCTCAAAAGAAGAGGGGAAGAAGAAAGTATGATGGAAAGAAAAAAACAACTCACAGGTTAAGATAAGAATAATTTAATTAAAGAGGAAAAAAAAAAAAAAGCAAAGGGCATGCTGAAGAAAAGGGGAAAGAAAAAAAATCATTCTGTATTTCCCATCAACGAGCGTTGTTAGGCCATGTCCTGGGAAGCAGGGCCTCAATACGCATAGGGGATGTTTGGAAGGACAGATATCTTCACAATGAGAGCCCCGCCCTCCTTCCCCTTTCCCACCTTTTATTGCTGAATGTGACATCATATGGTATGGAATATCCCTTTGGTTGGTTTAGGTCAGCTGCCCTGGTGATGTCCCCTCCCCACTGGCTTTGGGGGGTTTGGAGAGAGTCTTGATGTTGTGCCAGCACTGCTCAGCAATAGCAAAAACATTGGTGTGATATCAGGGCTGTTCCAGCTACAAGTGCAGAGCACAACACTATATGGGTCGTTGCAGGGAAAGTTAACTCCATTCCAGCCACACCCAGTACAACAGGATGCTTCAGGAAAACCATGTTAAAATACTATCTGTTTAACTATCTGTTAAGTGGTACTTTAGTAGTAATTATTTTTCATTATTGTATATGGCAGGGCCAAGTAAGTTTATATCTTTTATTTTTTTAAGAAGGAGCTTTATTTTCTGAATGGGACTATATGTCATTGCAGTCTGGTTAACAAGACTAGATTTGGTGTTTTCATAGAATCACAGAATGGCTTGGGTTGAAAGGGACCTTAAAGATCATCTAATTCTAACCCCCCTGCCATGATCAAGGACACTTTCCTCTAGACCAGGTTGCTCAAAGCCCCATCCAGCCTGGCCTTAAACATTTCCAGGGATGGGAGATCCAAAACTTCTCTGGGCAACTTGTTCCAGTGCCTTACCACCCTCAGAGTAAAGAATTTCTTCCTAATATCTAATCTAAATCTACCCTCTTTTAGCTTAAAGCCATTACTCCTTGTCCAATACCACACTTCCTGACAGACTCCCTTTCCAGCTTTCCTGTAGGCCCCCTTTAGGTACTGGAAGGCTGCAATGAGATCTCCCTGGAGCCTTCTCTTCTCCAGGCTGAACAACCCCAACTCTCTCAGCCTGTTTTTGTAGGAGAGATATTCCAGCCCTCTGATCACCGCTGTGGCCCTCCTCTGGACTCGTTCCATGTTCTTCTTGTGCTAGGGGCCCCAGATCCAAACACAGTACTCCAGGTGGGGTCTCATGAGAGCAGAGTAGAGAGAGGAGAATCACCTCCCTCAACCGTCTCGCCATGCTTCTTTTGATGCAGCCCAGGATATGGTTGACTTTCTGGGCTGCAAGCACACAATGCCTGCTCATGTTGATCTTCTCATCAACCAAGACCCCCAGGTCCTTCTCATCAGGGCTGCTCTCAATCCATTCTCCTCCAAGCCTGTATTTATGCTTGGGATTGCCTCAACCCAGCTGCAGGACCTTGAACTTGGTCTTGTTGAACTTCTAATGTGGTTTGCATGGACCCAACTCTCAAGCCTGTCCAGGACCCTCTGGATGGCATTTCTTCCCTCCAGCACGTCAACCGCACCACACAGCTTGGTGTCATCGGCAAACTTGCTGAGGGTGCACTCAACCTCACTGTCCATGTCACCTAGAGAGATCATCTAGTTCCAACCCCCTCCCCCCGCCACCCACTAGATCAGGTTGCCCAGGGTCCCATCTAACCTGTCCTTGAACACCTCCAGGGATGGGGCATCCACAGCTTCTCTGTGTAATCTGTTACCTTCCTCAGTGAAGAATTTCCTCCTAACATCTAATCCAAATCTACCCTCTTTTAGTTTAAAACTGTTTCCACTTATCCTATCATTATCTGCCCCTGTAAAATGTCACTCCCCAAATCACACTCTCCAAATTTCCATCAAAGGATCTTTTATATATCCTTATTTCCTTATGAAAGAAGGCATTGCACCTTAACTTATGTTCTTCGGCAGAAATCACTTAGCAATACCAGAGTGCTAACAAGCAAAGCCCAAATATGTGTTATTACAATCAATAGTGCAGAAAATATTTTCTTGAAACTAAGGGTGTTTTTTGTATTTTCTTTGTGTGTGCATTTTTTTAACTTATCTCATTTTTTCTTAATTTTTAAAGTTTATGTTTTATGAAATAATATTGCTTAGATAATGAAATGTCTTTGCATCATTCAAGTGCAGGTTATATTACAGTACTTCGAGAAGCACGGTGGAAATTCAAATCCTTGAGGATCTATATGCCAGTATTTAGTATACTAAAGTATTCATACTTTTTTTTTAAGGAAGGATGAAATTATTAGGAAGCATAAAGACCTATGCCATTATAATGTGTACAGTTCCAGGCAGAAAGTAATTAAGTAATCAACTATATTACTTTTTACCTAGAGAATTTTTTAACATATTTTTAAGAGGAGAAATCTAGGTATAAATTAGGAATACCGATACCAAGCTCCAAATTTAGGAGGCAGTGTCGCATTCTACTAATACAAATTGTGTTGATAAATTCCTTTGTTATCTTCTAGGGGGTTCAGTTGCTCATTTATCAAGTAAATATGGAGCCTTCAAAGAATCAGTTATTATTAATTACACAGAACAACTCTTATGTGGCCTTTCTTACCTACATGAGAATCAGATAATCCATAGAAATGTTAAAATTAAGAATTATTTAGAGTACCTTTTAAAAAGTAATATTTGGAAGGCAACATCTATTTTGGCTTGACACCTATTGCTTCTCTTATATGCCATTTCAAGAGTAGTATCGCTATTGGGTTTATCTGATAATACTTAAGAACCTTTACTTTACAGAAATTAACCAGAACATTCATGGAGTGCTTGGGAACTGCTGTTGCCAGCACATGGAGTGCTGAGCCAATAGTTTAGAAAAGTTGGTTTTCTGGATTTTTTCAAATAAAATATAAAGTTACCATATAGCTTTAAAGATTAGTTACAGAATCACAGAATTACTAGGTTGGAAGAGACCTCAAGATCATCGAGTCCAACCTCTGACCTAACACTAACAGTCCCCACTAAACCATATCCCTAAGCTCTACATCTAAACGTCTTTTAAAGACTTCCAGGGATGGTGACTCCACCACTTCCCTGGGCAGCCCGTTCCAATGCCTAACAACCCTTTCGGTAAAGAAGTTCTTCCTAACATCCAGCCTAAAACTCCCCTGGCGCAACTTAAGCCCATTCCCCCTCATCCTGTCACCAGGCACGTGGGAGAAGAGACCAACCCCCACCTCTCTACAGCCTCCTTTAAGGTATCTGTAGAGAGCAATAAGGTCACCCCTGAGCCTCCTCTTCTCCAGGCTGAACAAGCCCAGCTCCCTCAGCCGCTCCTCGTAGGACTTGTTCTCCAGGCCCCTCACCAGCTTCGTCGCCCTTCTCTGGACCCGCTCAAGCACCTCGATGTCCTTCTTGTAGCGAGGGGCCCAAAACTGAACACAGTACTCGAGGTGCGGCCTCACCAGAGCTGAGTACAGGGGGACAATCACTTCCCTAGACCTGCTGGCCACGCTGCTTCTTATACAAGCCAGGATGCTGTTTGGCCTTCTTGGCCACCTGAGCACACTGCTGGCTCATATTCAGCCAACTATCCACCAATACTCCCAGGTCCTTCTCCACCTGGCAGCTTTCCAACCACTCATCTCCCAGCCTGTAGCTCTTCTTGGGGTTGTTGCGCCCCAGGTGCAGGACCCGGCCACTTGGCCTTGTTAAACTTCATGCAGTTGACCTCAGCCCATCGGTCCAGCCTATCCAGATCCTCCTGCAGAGCCTTCCTACCCTCGAGCAGATCGACACATGCACCTAACTTGGTGTCATCTGCAAACTTACTGAGGGTGCACTCGATGCTCTCACCTAGATCATCGATGAAGATATTAAAGAGGACTGGCCCCAGCACCGAGCCCTGGGGAACGCCACTAGTGACTGGTCTCCAGCTGGATTTGACTCCATTTACCACAACTCTTTGGGCCTGGCTATCCAGCCAGTTTCTAACCCAACGAAGCGTATGCCAGTCCATGCCATGAGCAGCCAGTTTCTTGAGGAGAATGCTGTGGGAAATGGTGTCAAAAGCCTTGCTGAAGTCAAGGTAGACCACATCCACAGCCTTTCCCTCGTCCACCCAGCGTGTCACTTTGTCATAGAAGGAGATCAGGTTCGTCAAGCAGGACCTGCCTTTCATAAACCCATGCTGACTGGGCCTGATCGCCTGCTTGCCCTGCAAGCGCCGCGTGATGACTCTCAAGATAATCTGTTCCATGAGCTTCCCTGGCACTGAGGTCAAACTGACAGGCCTATAGTTCCCCGGGTCTGCCCTCTGGCCCTTCTTGTAGATGGGCGTCACGTTTGGTAGCCACCAGTCAACTTGGACCTCCCCCAGTAGCCAGGACTGCTGATAAATGATGGAAAGTGGCTTGGCCAGCTCCTCCGCCAGTTCTCTCAGTATCCTCGGGTGGATCCCATCCGGCCACATCGACTTGTGCACATCCAAGTGCCATAGCAGGTCACCAACCATTTCCTCATTGGTAGTGAGGGCCACATCCTACTCCCCATCCCCTTCCACCAGCTCAGGGTACTGGGTATCCAGAGAACAACCGGTAGTGCCACTAAAGACTGAGGAAAAGAAGGCATTAGCACCTCAGCATTTTTTTATCTTTTGTAACTAAGTTTCCCCCTGCATCCAGTAAAGGATGGAGATTCTCCTTAGTCCTCCATTTTGCAATGATGTATTTGTAAAAAGATTTCTTGTTGTCTTTAACGGCAGTAACCAGATTGAGCTCCAGATGAGCTTTGTCCTTTCTAATTTTGTCCCTGCACAGCCTCGCAACATCCTTATAGTCCTCCCGCATGGCCCGCCCTTTTTTCCAAAGATTATAAACCCTCTTTTTTCTCCTAAGCTCAAGCTGCAACTCTCTGTTGAGCCAGGCCGGTCTTCTTCCGCGCCGGCTCGTCTTTGGGCACATGGGGACAGACCGCTCCTGCGCCATTAAGATTTCCTTCTCGAAGAGTGCCCAGCCTTCCTGGACTCCTCTGCCCTTCAGAGCCGCCTTCCAAGGGACTCGGCCAACCAGTATCCTGAGCAGCTCAAAGTCAGCCCTCCAGAAATCCAATGTAGCAGTTTTACTGGTCCCCTTCTTGGCCTCGCCAAGAACAGAGAACTCCACCATTTTGTGGTCACTCTGCCCAAGACAGCTCCCGACCACCACATCTCTCACCAGTCCTTCTCTGTTTGTGAAGAGAAGGTCTAGTGGGGCACCACCCCTGGTAGGCTCACTAACCAGCTGCGTCAGGAAGTTATCTTCCATGCTCTCCAGAAACCTCCTAGACTGCTTTCTCTGGGCTGTGTTGTGTTTCCAGGATATGTCAGGGAAGTTGAAGTCCCCCATGAGAACAAGCGCCGATGATTTCGCAATTTCTGTCAGCTGCCTGTAGAACTCCTCATCCGTCTCCTCATCCTGGTTCGGTGGTCTATAACAGTCCCCAACCAGGATGCTAGAAAGGTCCTCTGAGACACCAGGCAAGTTTGTACGGAGTGCACCATCATCATATGCCAGCTCATTGGCAATAATGGCCTGGAAAGAGGATGAGGAACCCACAGTGGATGAAGTGGCTAAACAACTCCGGCAGTACGAAGAAAATCTCTCCTCTTCCTTACAGGCCTGCGTCTCAGCTGTGGAGAAACTTTCTGAAGAGTTCCACCAACTTAAAGAGAATCTATCTTCCTCCCCACCTGAACAAACCAGTGTCCACCGACCAAAAGAGAACACCTGGGAGAAACTTTCTGAAAAGGTTCACCAACTTGAAGAGAGATTATTCTCCTCCGCACCTGTACAAAGCAGTGTCTCAGCTATCAGGGGTAGGCGTTCATCCACACAAGGAAGACAATATGGTGGGTACTCACCCCGTGCCACCCTGTGGTTTTACTTACGAGACCATGGAGAGGACATGAGAAAATGGGATGGAAAATCTACCGCAACCCTAGAGGCACGGGTACGTGAGTTGCAAAAGAAAACAATCGGGAAAAAGGGATTCTCTGAAAAGTTTGCTGCTCCAACTTCCAGCAGACAGTCCTTCAAACACAGAAAAGAAGAAGATTCTGACCAGGATTAGGGGGGCCCTGCCTCCAGCCAGGGGGAGGAAAAGGACAATCGAGTTTATTGGACTGTGTGGATTCGATGGCCTGGCACATCAGACGCACAGAAGTATAAGGCTCTAGTAGACACCGGTGCACAATGTACTATAATGCCATCGAGCTATAAAGGGCCAGAGCCCATCTGTATTTGTGGAGTGACAGGGGGATCTCAGCAGTTGACTGTATTGGAGGCTGAAGTGAGTCTGACTGGGAATGACTGGGAAAAGCACCGCATTGTGACTGGCCCAGATGCTCCATGTATCCTTGGCATAGACTATCTTAGAAGACGATATTTCAAGGACCCAAAAGGGTTCCGGTGGGCTTTTGGTATAGCTGCCTTAGAGACAGAGGGCATTAAACAATTATCTACCTTGCCTGGTCTCTCAGAGGACCCCTCTGTTGTGGGGTTGCTGAGGGTCAAAGAACAGCAAGTGCCAATCGCTACCACAACTGTGCACGGGTGGCAATATCACACCAACCGAGAGTCCCCGATTCCCATCCATAAGCTAATTCGTCAATTGGAGAGCCAAGGAGTGATCAGCAAGACTCATTCACCTTTCAATAGTCCCATATGGCCAGTGTGAAAGTCTAATGGCGAGTGGAGACTAACAGTGGACTATTGCGGCCTGAACGAAGTGACGCCACCACTGAGTGCTGCAGTGCCGGACATGCTGGAACTTCAGTACAAACTTGAATCGAAGGCAGCCAAGTGGTACGCCACAATTGATATCGCTAATGCATTTTTCTCCATCCCTCTAGCAGCAGAGTGCAGGCCACAATTTGCTTTCACTTGGAGGGGAGTCCAATATACTTGGAATAGGCTGCCCCAGGGGTGGAAACACAGCCCTACCATTTGCCATGGACTGATCCAGTCTGCGCTAGAGCAGGGGGAAGCTCCTGAACACCTGCAGTACATCGATGACATTATTGTGTGGGGTGACACAGCAGAGGAAGTTTTCGAGAAAGGGAAGAAAATAGTCCAAATCCTTCTGAAAGCCAGTTTTGCCATAAAACAAAATAAAGTCAAAGGACCTGCACGAGAGATCCAGTTTTTAGGAATAAAATGGCAAGATGGACGTCGTCAAATCCCAATGGATGTGATCAACAAAATAACAGCTATGTCTCCACCAACCAACAAAAAAAAACAGAGACTTTCCTAGGTGTTGTGGGGTTTTGGAGAATGCACATCCCAAATTAAAGTCTGATTGTAAACCCGCTCTACCAAGTAACCCGTAAGAAGAATGAGTTTGAATGGGGCCCCGAACAACGACAAGCCTTTGAACAAATCAAGCAGGAAATAGTCCATGCAGTAGCCCTTGGGCCAGTTCGAACAGGACCAGATGTAAAGAATGTGCTCTACACTGCAGCCGGGGAGAACGGCCCCATCTGGAGCCTCTGGCAGAAAGAACCTGAGGAAACTCGAGGTCGGCCCCTGGGGTTTTGGAGTCGGGGATACAGAGGATCTGAGGCCCGCTATGCTCCAACTGAAAAGGAGATATTGGCAGCATATGAAGGAGTTCGATCTGCTTCGGAGGTGGTCGGTACTGAAGCGCAGCTCCTCCTAGCACCCCGATTGCCGGTAC